CATTAATTTCATTAAAACCTCAAAGACTTGATGTGAAAAGACAATGTGCAAAGACAAATTACTGAACTTACTCACTAAAGTGCAATATTCTGTAGTATTTTGGCTTTTAAACCTATTTCTTTAACATACTACCTTTCGCACAGAATCAGTATCAGTTGCAGAGCTTGACATCTCTGATGAAATTCCAGTTTTTTAGGTATGATAGTTGGCACTGTGGTCAGAAGCCTATAAACACTGAGTTTAAACCCAGACAGTACTTCAAACAGCCTGATGAAAAAGGAGCGCKTGGAGTCATGAATCTTCAAAAAGTCAGATTAATTTAGAAGCAAATCAAAGTGACATAAATAGTTCTTAGTCTCAAATAGTTCTTAAATTTTCATTTCAAATGCTGATTTCAGCATTATCACGCACAAGCTTGAAATGTGGTATTTATCATCAGTCYTAACTGGGGAAGAGAAAGAACATTTGGATGCAGGACAGTAGCAACTCATTAAAAGATGCTCAAAGGGAAAGACTGGGACAGAGGAAGATTTGATTTCTACCACAGTCAAAATTTTTAAAAAAGGGACCAAACAATTAAACTCTATTCAGTATTTACACTAGAAAACAAAGCACATAGCTGGTGAAACTCTAGAACAAAAATTAGCTAAAACAGCTCAAAAGGAGATAGGGCAGAATACAATCTGACCAGTAAGGCTGAAGTCTGCATCCCATGAAAATAACTAGTACAGTACAGCAGCAAAATAGCAGAATTGTGTGGGTCACTTTAAAATTGACTTTTTCAGTCAGAAGACAAGAGGTGATGTGGTCAAAGTGCAAKTTTAAGGAACACGTCCTCTGTCAATCATTCCTGCCTTTGTGATCAAGTAGAACTGCTCCTTCAGATGTACTRAAGAAGGGCTGTAATGGGAAGTGAACCAGGGTAATCTTAAACAACTTTTGTTTTAAATAACATCCAAATTTTTATTTGGGATCCATTCAGTTATCAAGGTCCTGACAGTGACCCTGAACAAGCCACATTAAAAAAATAAGACCCTGAGGCATGGTGCTGAGAGGGATCTTTCACCAGGCTGAAAGCCCGGTACCATGAGAAAATTTTTTCACAGAAGTTCTTCCAGGCAGAACACACCGGTGTTTCTGGCTAGTCTGTAGTGAATTTGGAAAGAATGCCTCCCCAGTCCACTCTTTCTCCAGGCAGCAGGACTGGGTCAAGCACTTCCTTAATCTCCTCACCTAATTCCCATCCCAGTTCTTATCACACCACCACTGTGCCAGCACAAGGAATAAATAGGGCTGCATGGAGGAGCAACCGGGAAAGAAGTAATCCAGAAAAAGACAAAMAAAATAAATAAAAAATGGAAGAAGCAGAGGAGATGTGTATAGCTGGATCAGAGCTTTAATTCTTCTTAGCATGACATAAATGAGGACAACAAATTGGTAATGCAGGTGCAGTAAACWCCTCAAGCCTATAACTGCAGTTGTGAACTTCACCAGGAGAAAGCCATGCATTTATTTTTGCATTAAGTGTATTTTAAAATCACAAACATGCTTCATGGAATACACACGCAAATATTCGTTGCTGGATGTTGAGTGCGATCAGACCCAAGGTAGAAACAGGTGACTTCCCTCTTTATCCCTTATCTTTCTCAGGTCTGTTTCTGAGGGATATGAGAACAACACCACTRAATCTACCACACAGTGATAAAACACAATTGAGCTGCACCTCTTTGGTCTTATCTACCATAGCTTTGAGAAGCCTTAACTGATGCAAACTCATCTATTTATATCAAACAGAACAGCTGATGTAAGCAGTGGAGTTTCTCTGCAGAGACAATATTTCTACTGAAGAGAACAAAGGAAAACACTTTCTGTGGGGTTTTTTTCCCCTCAGATTTTGAAATGAGATTTTTTTATAAATCCCAGCTCCTAGTATTATWAGACTTTTTCCAGATTTATTTCAGCTTCTACAAGTGAGTAGCCTAACTCTCCTATCTTCTCCTAATAACCACACTGTAAAAGACTCAGATCTGCTTCAGACASACTGCTGGCACACCTTCCCTTTTTATGTCCAGCAGCACAAAACAAAGAATCCAATACTGCTCACTGACTTAAGTTATTTCAGTCCAATGACTTCTCCCCTCGTTTATTTTGAAATACTGGAAAGCCATGGTTACAGGTTGAGCTGGAAGGGACCTTATAGATCATCTCACTCTAACCCCCCTGCCGTGGGCTGGGACACTTTCCACTAGACCAGGTTACTCAAAGCCTTCTCTCACCTGGCCTTGAACACTTCCAGGGAGGGGTCATTCCACAACTTCTCTGGGCAGCCTGGTCCAGTGTCTCACCACTCTCACTGTAAAAGATTTTTTTCCTAATGTCCAATCTAAACCTGCCCTCTTTCAGTTGAAAGCCCTTCCCCCTTGTCACATACCCTTGCACAAAGTTCTTCTCCAGCTCTCATACAGCTTCCTTCAGGTACTGAAAGGCCACTCTAAAGTCTCACAGGAGCCTCCTCTTCTCCAGACTGAACAATTCTGCTTCCTTTGCTTTACAGGCATATTTTAGCACCTAGTTTTTGTACTGGTTCATCTTCTTCCTGGCTGCAGCATTTGGTAACAATTTAAATACTGATGTACCCCTGTTAAGCACAAGAACTTCATGATGTGAGAAAATCAGCATTTTGCATAAGCTTACTCCTGGAATTATTTCAGGTTTTGTCCAACAGCTTTTATTAGCATTGTCTTCTCTAGCAAGGAGAGAAGAGASGGTTTATTTGACTTCAGCAGCATCTTTTATTCTGGAGTGTCACTCTATACAGGGGATAAGACTACAGATATAAAGTAAGATATTTCTTACATGATGTGATTTTATACTGCCTCAGAAAAATCTTCTATAATCCTTATATTCACACCAAAACTCAGCATGTCTGTTCTATGAAAGAGCTGCAGTCTTAGATGGTTGTTCTGAAGTTAMACTTGAAAGATTAGTAGATTGAGATGATATCTTGTCCTCACATCTGAGAATACACAGTATGTATATAGTAAAAGAAAGTTTTTATTTTAGTTTGGGCAAATATTTATGAATATATCTTCATCACAGACTTTAAGAGACAAAATGCCTTAGCAATATATACAACTTAGTGAATATTTTTAAACACCACATGAGATAAGCTGTTATTATCCCCATGATGTTCTTAAAATATTAAACATTCCACAGCTGATCTGTCAGACTGACTAACTCCAGATCACCTGAAAAATTTGTCATACTCGTCCTAGACATCCTCAATGCTCAAGCTCAATCACTCTAAGAAAAAGTGGGGAAAAAGAAAAGATATGTCTGGTATTTTCAGGTTTGACAAACCTATGCAAACATTTTTGGTTTTATACTGCTTTTAAGAACACATCTGCACTTTAGAAAGTACTGTGTGTTCTTAAAGACTAACAGCACAAGTCACCTGTGAGAAAAATAAAAGGGAGTACCAAAGCTTTTCAAAAGTAGATGTCCAAACTTAACACCCTCTGCCAGAAAGATACAAGTCAGACTGTCACTGCTAAGAATCCCAGGCCCAAGAGTTTACACATGTGACCACAGAACACACAATACACAGTTCACTCTGCTCTTCAAGCACAAACTGAATCCCCAGCCTTCTCTAGAAGCACAGACAACTCTTACATCTAGATTAATGAAGTTCCTCCATCTGTGAAAGGGGAAAAAGCATAGAGGTTTCAAGCCAGCTAAGCTGTAAAGCTAAGCTCTGTGAGGACACCGAATAAGAGTAGAGAACAAGAGTAAATACTTTTCCTTCCTTTAACACTGGGCCTGTGAAAGYGGCCTGTCATAGACAAACAATCCAGGAAATCTTCAGAACAAAACCTGTATAATCTTTCTGTAGAGATTAGCAACATAACAAGTTAATTTCAAACATTAAAGMATTTGTTGTTTCCTCTAGATTTCATGTTCAATAAGTTCTTTAAAACACTTTAAAATCCCACTGAAACAACAACCAAAAAACCCAACTCAAAAACCTACAAAAAAAGCCAACAAACAAAAAGCTACACATTATCCTGCTGAACTTTCAAAACAGCTACTGAAAACTGAGTAGTAACTCAACAATCAAAAACCAGACTTAGCTACTTTTTCTCTCAACCTGTCCAGCAGAAGCATGTGATCATCATCTTTGAGATCTAAATTTAGGGCTTTCTGCCCATTTCAAATGGCCGTGAAAAGCTAAGATGTCTAACATCAGGAGACAGAAGTTCCTATTTACTGAAGTGAAAGCAGAAAGAGTGCCAACAAAACCCAAAAAGCCTCAAAGTATAGCTCAAAGGTTAGAGTGAGACCTTAAGAGTCAGAACCGGATTTCAGAAATGAGGGAGAGCAGGAAGGGGTGTACGCCTCTGAAAGCAAAGTAAACTCATTTTGCTCAGGTAGGCAGTGATCCACAGTATTGACACAGCTATGCTTATCTGCTGTCCTACAGCCACAAGCACTGAACACTCGGTTATCGCAGCACTGTGTTCCTAAGCCTCGAATTCTCAAYCGCTGCTCTCCGCTCCTGGCTGCAGGATAGCTGACGGCTGAAAGCACCACTGGAAGCAAGCATAACTACGAAAAAGAACGGCATTCCTAATCTCTGCGCCCCAACCGCACCCGAAATTTGCGCTGTGCAATTACCTGTATCCATAACCACAGAACACACGATACACAATAGCGAGACTCGGTGCTTCCCCTACCCCTCCATGCCCGCATCGATACTGTTTCACCTCTCGTGGCTATGCTTGCAACACACTCCAACTCCTTCCCCTGCAACCCAACACCCACCGCAACAAGCATGAGGTGGCACTGCCACAAATCYAGCGGGAGGGGAAGGAAAAGCGCAAACGAGGGCAGCGCTTCCCGCCGACCGGCGCTGACAGAGCGGAGAGGCGCTCGTGTGAAGCAGCCCAGCGCCGGGACCGCACAGCGGGGCCCCGGCCCCACGGAGGGCGCCCGGCACCCACCTGCACGGCGGGGAAGGCGCCCTTGAGCAGGTAGAACATCCTGCGGTTGGAGAGCAGGTCGCCGGTGGTCAGCTGCTCCTCGGCCCCCTCCCGCGTCTTCCCCTTCGCCTTGGCGTTGAGGACGTTCCCCTCACGGACCCGCTTCACCTCCTCCCCGCCCCTGACGGCGGCCAGCACGGACACGGCCAGCAGCTCCCGCAGGTCCACGGCGCCGCCGGGCGCGGAGCCGTGCGGCGTCTCGGGCCCGCCGGCCGCCGGCTCGCTCAGCATGAAGAAGGCGAAGCGGCCGGCCAGGAAGCCGGAGTAGAGGTGGTAGAGGACGCCGAGCCCCAGCAGGCAGAACACGGCCATGCCGAGCGGCGAGAGGCGGATGCCCATGGGGGCCATGGCCGCGGGGCGGGCGGGCGGCGGGGCCGGGCGGTCACCACAATGCCATGGCGCGGCCGGGGCGCTCCGCTCCCGCCGGTGCAGCGGCGCCGGGCCGGCTCCACGCTCGCGAAGGCAGCGCCGTCCGTATCCGGGTCAGGCGGAGGCGGGGCCCGCCGCCCGCACTGAGCATGTCCCGCTGCCCGCGGCCTGCGCCGCCCTGCGCTGTCCCACCGGAGCCTGAGGGAGCCCCGCTCCCTCCCGGCGCGCACCGTCCAGCGCCCGCTGATTCTCCTGAACTCTGCGGTTTGGGGTGATTTTTTCTTCATGTCCCTCTAGGCAGCGGGTGCGCCAGGACTCCGCAGCGGTGGGGCAGAGGGAGCTGCTCCCTCCCGCGGGGCCGGAGCCGGAGCCGGAGCCCGAGCCGAAGCCCGCCCGGCAGGCTGGGAAGGAGTTTTCTGATGGAAATCGCTGTTGGCATAAATTGCCGCTCARTTTCTAAAGGTGCATTGTTAGCGGTGCTGAGCATCACTGCTGAACATCTCTTGTTTTTGTCATACTGGTCCGGGAAGTTTGGGACTCTCTGCCCAGTTGCTCCTCGAAGAATTCCTCTCAGTCAGTAAAATGAAGCAAATCCAACAGTTTCCTCAGCCAAGTGGTGCGATAAAACMATACCTGTCTTAATTTTTTACTTTTTTCTTTACACCTCATTTGTTTTGGGGGAGTATGAAACTTCATAGCCAGGATGGAGATCTGGGGTGGGAAGTGGGAAGAGTCTGATTTCTTTCTGTTCTCATTTCTGATTTTTTTCTAGTAGTTTTCAGTAAGTTGCAAACAAAAGAGCAATGTTAATTCAACACTTTGAATTAATTACATGTTTTTTAACTCGAGAAATTTTGTCCATTGATACACAGATTGGAAAAACAGACCTTGAAAGTGACTCTGGGAAGAAGTAATTACTAGGGATCACGCATTATAACTGTTTCCTTGGGTTCTTGCTTTTTTTTTTTTTTTTTTTTTTTTTTTTTTTTTTTTTTTTTTTTTTTAAGTGCTAAACTTACATAATCAAGAATGTGGAAACTATAAAGACCAAAATTAAGATCAGCCTTGCAAACTGAAGTTACCATTTAGTTTCCTTTGCATTTCCATTTTAATAGCATCTACAAATTACATGGTTACATATCAAGTGCCCTTCAGAATCACACCCTCTCTGAAGTGCACATGTAAGTGCAGGGAGTGAAAATTAAAGCATCATAGAATGAGGAAGCATTTCATTTGAAATGGGATTTAAGAGCTGGATTTGATTCTTAACTATGCTGAGTTAAGCTTCATGTGCTATTAGGCAAAAACTAGAATRTCCACATTTTCCAGCTTGCCATTCTTTTCAAGGTACAAGTTATTGTTTTTATTGGTTTGTGGGTTGGTTTGTTTTTTTTTTTTCTGTACCTTCTTCTCTGAAAGAGTGGGAGCTTGAAAGGATACACTGATCGCTTCCCTTAATACGGATTTCAGAGTTCAGCATTTAATATAATAATTAATGGTAAGAAGCTGTGCAGCAATACAGGGTTCATGTTAGACAGACTTGTGTCAGTAATGAGCAGTGAATGCAAGACTACAAGCATGCTTGGTTTTTATGTGTCCCCTTTTAAAAAACACTGGACAAAATAGCCAGCAGCAGTGCTGCTTGATGCTATCARTAACAGTTTGTGTGTGTTCAGTAAAGAGGAACTTTAAACTCCATTATGGTGGAAGAGACACAGAAGAAGGGAGAAAACCTGCAACTTTCTGAACAGTTTCTTGAAGGTAAAGAAATACTAGGCTTGTCCCACTGAAGTTTGCAAAGACCTTACAGAGGTGTAGAAAATTAATGGRTTTATTACTTGCTGCTTACATTTTTATGCTTGCAGTAAACAGGGACAGAAAATATTAACAGTAATGTAAGCTGTGAAGAGGGCGGTRCAGAGAGGGCTCCTTATTTCTGTGATACTGTGTGTACCATCTGTGCCAGGTTTCAGAAGAAACTGTTCATTACTGAATGCAGTCACATAGMCGATAGACAATATGCTGGCAGCCTGTTTCTCTGCAGCAATCTTATTCTGTAATTGCCAGTATAATTTTCTAAGGTTGCAGTCTGGCATCTTCCATGCTATTTTCCCAAGATCCCTAGATTGAATTCCTCATGTTTATCCAGGTTGCTGTTGACTTCACCTGGTCTCCAGAATGCCACAGAGATCTTTGCCAAGTGCTCTTGGCTGATGGTATAAAGGTAGTTTAGGCAAGGTTTCTTTATTGCTTCAACCTGTAAGATGAGTTTCCAGAGACCACAGTGTATACATAAAATAAAATCAACTTGGGAAAAAAAACCCTCTCTCTGTTCATTATTAGCAAAAGGAGATTTGTACCTTCACATGAGCAGGTGAGGAAAAAATTCTGATGGAAATGTTCCYTCTGAAGATGGGGAGCATGCCAGAGCACAGCAAGTTTTGTGTCTGTCTTACAGAGACTGTGGCAAGAATGTGTGAACTGGTGAGCTCCCATCCCTGTCCAGGCTAGCAATGTTTTGTCAAGAGTACTTTACAGTACAGTTTATTTTCATGGCTTCTTTGCCAGCCTCATTGCTGACTCGTGGAAAAGCTGGCAATGTCCACATCTTCCACAGSTCCAGCCATGCAAGCAGGTTAACAGGGTCTGTCAGCAGCCACAGAAGTGCCSTGTTGCAGCAGGTTGTTGTTTCTCTGTGACTCGGACAGTTTATGAAGCCATTCATGGCAACCTTCCTGAGTGCTTAGATTTTGTGTCTGCAGTTGCAATGTGTCTGGAAAAGACAGGGAGTTCCTCAGGCTCAGAGCTGAGTGTGATCTGCAGCACATGAAATTGTTYTGCTGTGTCTGTGCTTCTGAGAGGCTGAGAAAGAGCAGATGGCTGTGGGCTGGTACCAAAGCACCTGAGGGGAACCTGCTGTACAAGTGCCAGCACCAGCTGCAGCCACTACGTTTCCCTGTCTGTGTTGGRAAGGTTGTCCATGAGAGAGTCCCATGCAAGGTATTTCATAGTGTGGGGTAGCTTTCCTTTGCATAGAGCATTTGATCGGTGTAGTGCGGGTGTATGGGCAGCTACAAATAGTTGTTTGGTTTACTCAATCAGGTTCTTCCTTCTTTCTCTCTCTTTTCTCATATWTTCTGTTCTTTCCTGATTATTTTGTTTGTGATATTACCTCATGCAATCCTGTTCACAGCAGCACTCATGGTTATGGCTATCTATCTTATATGCTTGGCTATCTATCATATATCCTGACTGACCATACAGGGCTGAGAACGTCAGGAAGGTTGTGCAGAGACTTACAGAACTTAAAGGTATTGTTAAAGGCTTTGTTTAAATTAGTGTGTGAAATTAAAGCAGAATGTTACAAAATGTGTGAAGCATGAAGGTAGACCAAATAGGGCAAAAAAAGTGGATGGATGTCTGTATTTTATAGTGTATCCCAACTGAAGTGTTCCTGGGTACCTATAGTCCAGCTTATCTTAAAAATTTCCTTCCCATAGAAGTGTGCTCCTTTGTCATGGATGCTTCCTTTTCCTTTTCCTTTGTGGAGAAGGAATGGCTCCAAACASCCCTGAAGGCTGGGATGCCATTCATCAAAATCTTGATTGGTTGGGAAKTTGGACAGACAGAAACCTAATGAAATTCAACAAGGGTAAATTTASGGTACTGCACCTGAGGAGGAATAACCCTKGGACAGGCTGACCTGCTGGAGAGCAGTTCTGCAGAGAGCTGGGAGCCTTGGTGGATGACACCATGAGCCAGCAATGCCCTTGCAGCCAGGAGGGCAGATAATACCGTGGGATGCCTGGGATGCACTGGAACAAGTATGGCCAGCAGGTTGCCTGGTGATGGAGGTGACCTCCCCACYCCCACACTGGGCCCTAGTGAGGCCACACCTGGAGTACTGTGCTCTGTTCTGGTCTCCAAAGTTCAAGAAAGACAAGGAGCTACTGGAGAGGGTGCAGATGAGGGTCACAAAGATGGTTACATGTTTGGAGCATCTCTGGTGASGAGAGACTTCAGGAGCTGGGCCTGTTTAGAGAGGGGAAGAYTKAGAAGGGATCTCATTAAAGCGTATAAATATTACAAAGGTGGGTGACAAGAGGATGGTGCCAGACTCTTTCCAGTGGTACCCAGTGACAGGACAARGAGCAACATCCATAAATTAAAAACACACAAAGTTACACCTCAACATAAGAAAGTTTTTTTTTACACTGAGAGTGGCAGAGTSCTGGAACAGGCTGCCCAGGRAGGTTGTGGAGTCTCCYTCTCTGAAGACATTCACTGACCTGGACTCGTGCCTGTGTCACCTGCTCTAGGTGACCCTGCCTTGGCAGAGGGAGTTGGACTAGATGGTCTCAAGAGGTCCTTTCCAAACCCAACAAGTGTGTGATTCTGTGAAATATAAAGGAAGAGGCTATAATCTGCAGTCCGTGTGGAAATTATATCTGTACTCCTCACTAGGACAGGATCCAGGTCCTGGAGCTTGCAGCAAGTCACATTGCCCGARCTAGAGCTGTCCTGGGCATCCCACGGTATGAGCTGTGCAGAGCCTGTGTCCTGCATTGCTCCAGGTCAGCTTAGTGTGGGTACTGAGATGTTCTGCCAGCAGCAATGCAGCAAAGCTCCTCACTGATTGTCAGGAGAGCTTGCTTTGCCCTCCTGCGTACTCGCTCTCACGAGTTTCTCGGTGCACTAARCTGTTTCCAGGAAATGCTGCTTACAGCAAGTCTGGCTCTGTGCCAGGCTCGGTTCTGGCATCATGGAATTGCCAAGATTATAAAATGCAATACCTCTGATTCAGGAGAAGGCCTGAGGGAAAATGGAAGAGCCTGATCCAAGAGAGGGCATCCAAGGTGAAAGCAGATGCAAAGCGTGATGGAAGGAAAGCTGACTGTGGTGAGACTCTGGAAAGAAGGAGCAAGGTCCAAGCTTGCATTTGCAGAAGAGCAGCTGCAGCCAGGTGCTGTGAGCTCAGGAGTCAAGGAGTGGGAAGGTACATGAAAGAAATGAAAGAACCTGTAGAGTGGTCTGGGGAATTCTGATACAGGCTCCTTCTGCTTGATCTGATAGAAAAGTGATTAGCCAAAATGTTTGGAACAAATT